GAGAGACTTAGTATAGGAAAAGTAGATCCAGGTGTCTCCGTTCAGAAGAAGACAGTGACACAAGTCAGCTACTGCTCTGATTTTTAACTTCTCTCTAATCCTAATCTAAAGTATCTGAGTTGGTTAGAATTTCACAGAATCACAGAATGTCTTTGGTTGGAAGAGACCTCCAACAACATCTAGTTCAACCTTTCAGTGCATTATGGATTTCCACCCTAATTATTTATTGAAAAAAATGTTAAAAATCCCATCCCAAACAAACACCCATGAAGAGCAGGGCAGCAAACAGGGCAGTCTACACATGGTTCATTGTTTGAAGAATTTGTTATTAAAGGTACAATCTCTTCAAGAAAATCTGTGTATTACAACTTATGATTCAAGAGTTCCACCATACACAGTCATAAGACATACTGTGAAAAAAAGCTGATAGAGGGAAGAGCCTTTCAGGGTTATTTCTAGTCATTGAAACTCTGATGAGAGCAGTGTGTGAGCTTGGGTGGTGACATGGGCATTGCTCCCAGCACCACTGGAGCAACATCCCAGTCACAGCAGAGGTCTTGGTCCAGACTGGGATCTTGAGGAAGGACACAACTCTCTGAGTCTGGGGCTGCTGGGACCACTTGCTGAAGCTGGAGCAGGTGAAGGCAGCATCCTTCCCTGCAGAAGGTGTGCTGTCACTGAGGTCTTCCCTTTCATCTTTCATCTGTCTTTATTCATTACAGCACACCCAGTATTATGAAACTGCCACCTTCAGTTCTGTGGGGGAAAAAAATAGTTGCTAGAGTTTGTTATCCACTCTAGCAGAATTAGTCTCAAATCCTTGAACACAAAAATATTCATTCCTTCCATCTGTTTCACATATTTCTTTGTGATAGAAATGTTTCTAACATCTTCCCTGGTAGACAGATTATTCCTCATTCCATCTGACTTCCTGCTTTTCTTCCCTTATAATAACTGTGGTCTCTTTACAGTAGATTTTTAACCATCTCATGATTAATACCAATGTCATCCAGGAACATCTTTCATTGATGCCTACTAGTTCTTTAAACTATCTAATCCAAGCACCTCCTTTTTTGTTTTTTTAGCCTGCAGCTTATAAAAACAGTCTGGTGGTCTCTATCATGAGCTCCTTCCTCAGGGTTTTATCTCAGAATTTCTCTGTCTTGTCCTATAAAGTACTATTTTCAGACAAGAGCTGTAAAACACTTGTGCAACACCACCTCCACCCTGATCAATTCTTAAATCTTAGATGATCTGGTGTTCTCACATGCTGACCATTCAAGAAGTACACGTCTCCTGCTGGGTGTCTGGTAAAGACATTCACCTGATGAAATGCAGGACTTAGCCCAATTTGCAACACTAGATTTCACAATCTGGCCCTTATTTCAACTTTTGACTCCCAGACACTGATAATTTTGGTGTAAATCCTGGAACCATGATATTTGAAAGCCACCAAATGAAAACCAAATCCGAAACAAACCAAACCCAAACCCGACCCCAAAACTTAACAAATACTGTGGCATTTTTATTCAAGTCCATTTGACCAAATTAAGTTTGATGAACGTGGCATCTCAGTAGACTTCAGATGACTGTGACAGATCCAGTTGTACTGGTTACAGAGAGTCCAGTTCATGAGAGAAATAGGCACTTACAGGATGCAATTCTTGTCATCCTCAGCTGTATGTTGGATAAATCACAGGTTACAGGCACCTGCTTGTTTCCACTGATTAAGGAGAGGATCTGAAAGGTTAGCTCTGGGCAGCTCTGTACCTAGGAGAGATGTCTAAGATTAGACAAGAGCTTCCTTACTTCTCAAACTTTCCAGTGTTAGCATTTTTCTAAATTCTGCCTTACTTCTAGGACCCCTTAGTCCAGCAATGTCAATTTCTTGGATGACACCAAGAGATAGTCAATTTCAGGGAAGGAAAAAAATAAAAAAATAAAAATGTCAATTTAAAGCAGCATGACTGAAGCTCATTAAAAAAGAACATTATGTGCCCTTTAGTCATTTCAGGAGCTGAAAAAATATGCTGTAGTTGAATGACTTTCTCCTATGACCTTTACAGCTAAAACTGCAGGGCTTGTTTTGTCAGAATTTATAAAAAGGTAGTATTGTTAATGAATCTACATAGATTAAAATACACTTGAGTGAGGTTTACAGAAGGTATCTCTTAATGAGCTCATCTCATAATATTTATTGTTATTATAATATTTTTATATGCAACACACATCCACCACTATTTAGGCAGAAATAGACAAATGAAATAGAAAATTTCAGATTAAATAATAGATTTCCCCAGAGGGAAAAAAATATTACTTTGGAAATAGCAGTGGAGAATCCTTGTTCTCAAGATGAGAAAAAACCCATACATTTATAGAAAAGTGTGACCCTTTTAAAAGGTCACCTAATCCTTCTTTTCCTCTAGGAAGGATAAACTAAATCTACATTGCTTTTTTACAGATGCTTCATTAATCTCTTCTTCAAAGCTTCCAAAGACAGGCATTCTGAAATTTCTCTGACCATTTATCCTCCGTGCTTAATTATTCCTAGCAGAAAATTATTTTCTTGTAAATCTCCTCTGCAGCAATTTTTGCACATTGTCCCACTGCAACAGAAATAGAGAACAGCTTCATTCTATCCTCTTGGCAGCACATTTTAAGCATTTGAAAATCGTTTAGACACAATTTTCTTCTAATTTCTAGATTAAAATACAACTGTTCTTTAAAAAATTCTTTATAGATGGCAGGTGTTATTTTACCTTTGTCACTCTCAATACTTTTCACTGTGGCTTCTTGAACTGTTCTACATTTTTCAAGTGAGGTATTACAAACCAATGAAGAATTTCTGCTGATATCTAGAAAGTGTAAAATGCAGAATTATTCAGGTTATTTTAATATGTAATCTATTTGCTTTCAGAACAAAGCAAGATGATGTTGATTCATGTTTAGCTGTGATGTCCTATTATTCTTTGATCATTTTCTGATGAAATTATTCTATGTCTTGTTTTTGTGGACCTGTGAAAGGCTTGGCTGTTGTTTAGGCACAGAGAGAAGTATAACTGAGAACACAGCAAAAGCCCATTTGCTTAAGGGAGTAGAGTTCTTGTGAGGAGCAACAACATTTTGGACAAAGTGGAAGTTTGACTTATTTGTTAAGGTAGAGACATTCAAACCACAACTAAAGCCCAGTTCTACAACAGGACATAGACAGAACTCCTGCAGGAGCTGCAGGAACTGGCTACTTATATAAGCTACTTATACTTATATAAGTAGCTTGAACTACTTCCCTGAGAGAGGTAGAGTTGAAGCCAGAACAATTGAATTAGAGATAGAAGAAAAGGTTAATGCCCCTGCATGATGATAACCATGTGCTTCCTTGTCCAGAGGACTCCTTCCATCTTTCCTTTCATGCACTCCTACTGACAGAAAGAGTGCAGCTGGTGTTGAAAGTTACAGGAGCAGCAGGACTTGTCGTTGGGTTCCCTGCTTCCTGAGTGGAACGCATTTTGCTAATGTCTGCAACAAAGCAGGTACTCATGATCTCTGTGGGTATCGAGGACACAAGAGGGAGGGTTCTGGAGACATAATTTAAGCTCTTAGATAAAAAAAACCCTGAAGATCAGGACATTCTTTCATTAGCTTTATTTATGTTCTTGTCCAGGATGAGACAAAAAGGGAGTAAATCCTCAGCATGGACTTGGAAAATAGGATAAGGAAGAGAAGCCTAGAATGAATATGATTGAGAGAACTTCGGAAATATGTGGAATTTACACAGCTGACATGAGTAATGTCCATGCTTATGTTAGACATGATGATAAATTACTCTCCCACAGAAGAGTGTGCAGGGGAACTCAATGCCCACAGTTACAGGCACCTTGGGGCATCCAGCTGCTCTGGCATGGGGTTTTCCTCTGTAGGTAGATATCTGCTCCACTATGGACCTCCAGGGGCTGCAAGGGGACAGCCTGCATCACCATGGTCTTCACCACAGACTGCAGGGGAATTTCTGCTCCAGCACCTTCAGAACCTCTTCTGCCTCCTTCTTCACTGACCTTGGTGTGTCTGCAGAGCTGTTCCTCTCACATATTCTCACCCCTCTCTCTGGTTGCAAATGCATAAGGTTTTTTTCCCCTTCTTAGCTATGTTACCCCAGAGGTGCTGCTATGGCTGGGCTGAGCCTTGGCCAGCAGTGGGGCTGACCTGCAGCAGGCTGGCACTGGCTCTGTCGGACACAGGGCAACCTTCTAGCAGCTCCTCACAGAAGCCACTCCTACAGCCCCACCTGGCCACACAAAACACTAGGTTTAAAGCAAACACAAGGAAGTCTTTCCTCAAGGATGGGATGTTTCAAATAGGATTTTTTAAAAAGTGTGTGAAAAATTGACAGCATAAGAAGACGCAGAGATAGATTCTTTTTCAAACTATGCAGCAGATAAACAGAAGCTGGGAGAGTATAATGGAGGGAGTCTCTCTGTATTTTTGTCCCACTCTTATACTCCGTCTTTTAAGCACGTACTCCAGGGTCCTGTCATGGATGATCTTGATATTGAATGATATGAAACTAGGCAAGCCCTTAACTGGGCTCACCACTTGCATATCCTGCAGGTACTTCCAAATATCACGTCTGAGGAGCACTCCGATTCAGACTCTAACCCCATTTTCCACTGATTTTTGATCCTCCGTCTCCTGCATCTCTCTATTTTCCCATCCCTTGGTTGCTGTGAGTTTCCACCAGTCTCAGCATTAATACAGTATTCTGATCAGTTGCTGCAGGTCATAGAATGGTGATCCAAAGTCTGCAAACTTGACCTACCTTTTCAGAATCACTCTCATAACAATGATAAAGTTCCTAGTAGAGTTTTTTGCACACTGTTGCAATACAAACAATGCAAACATCTCATCATATTCACTAAATCCAGAAATGTGGCAGTCCCACAGAGGAATGTGTCAACAGGAGTGAATTACCAAGTGAGACATTGGCTGGTTTGTGTGTAATAAAACCTCCTTCTTTATTCTACCCACAGTGAAAAGCAGAAATCATTGACATTTGAAATATAGACTTTTTTTTTTTTTTTTTTCCCCAAGTCAAAAGAAGATAAAAGAACCAACCAAGATTAATTTTCCTCATCTGTCTTTAGCTTTTCCCTAATCCCTGAGGCAACAATGGCAAAAAACAGCTCAGGGAAGAAGGTGCGAATGTAAACTGCTGCTCTGGGGATGGGGTTGGCCATTAGGACCTCCTGCTTCTTGCTGCTCACCGTGCGCAAGACTTCCTCTGCCACCTCCACAGGGTGCACCCCATATGCCACCTTCCTGAAAAAGACTGAAAATCAGAGAGGAGTGAGAGCTACAGTCAGACAGACAGATACCTCTGAGGGAATGGTGGTGAAAAGATACACAGGCAGTGCATCAGTCAAATGAGTTACACTCCTACACACTTTCAATCCCTTCCCGTCATCAGTATGATGTCCCTAAAGTCTTTCTACAATTCTGAAGTAAAATCCTTACAGTCCTGAAGAGAAGGAACAACTTGAGTGCAATGGAACTCTCCCTTGGGACCTTTCATGCTCTGCTCCATTTCCCACGTCATGGTGTATTTATTTTCCCATATAGAATCATAGAATCATTAAGGTTGGGACCTTAAAGATTATCAAGTTCCAAGCCCCATGCCATGAGCAGGGACACCTCCCACCAGACCACGTTACACAATTGTCATCCAACCTGGCCTTAAAAACCTCCAGGGATGGGGCATCAACAACCTCCCTGGGCAACCCATTTCAGTTCCTCACCACCCTTAGAGCGAAGAATTTCTTCTTAATATCTAACCTAAATCTCCCCTCTCTTAGTTTAAAACCATTACCCCTTGTCCTATCACTGTCTTCTCTGATGAAAAGCTTTCCTGTAGGTCCCTTTCAAGTACTGGAAGCTGCTCTAAGGTCTCCCTGGAGCCTTCTCTTCTCCAGGCTGAGCAACCCCAACTGTCTCTGCCTGTCTGAGACCAGAGCTGCTCCAGTCCTTGGATCATCTCCATGCTCCTTCTCTGGCCCCTCTCCAACAGCTCCATGTCTCTCCTGTGCTAAGGGCTCCAGAGCTGGACACAGCACTCCAGGTGGGGTCTCACCAGAGCAGAAGGGCAGAACCCCCTCCCTGGCCCTGCTGGCCACACTTCTCTTGTTGCAGCCCAGGACACAATTGCCCCTCTGGGCTACAGCACTCACTGGTGGCTCATGTTGAGCTCCTCATCTCCTCCCACCCCCAGGTCCTTCTCCTCAGGACTGCTCACAATCCATTCTCCCCTCAACCTGGATTTGTGCCCGGGGTTGTGCCAACCCGGGTGCGGGACCCTGCACTTGGCCTTGCTGAACTCCATGAGGTTGGCATTGGCCACCTCTCCATCCTGTCAGGGTCCCTCTGAATGGATCCCTTCCCTCTGGGGTGTCAACCACACCACACAGCTTGGTCTCATCAGCAAACTTACTGAGGATACATCAATCCCACTGTCCATATCTCCAACAAAGATTATGGTCTCTCTTTCCACGTTCCTCCTCTTTTAACCAGGCTAATATTGTCTCCAGTTTCTCTTTTTCTCCCCTAAACTCATCAGCCTTTCTGTCATGTCAACTCTTCCCTACGCTCTTTTCCCTGGGAAAAGTCTCCACACTGCCATATGGGCCTCATTTACTATCTTTTTTAATGTATCAAACCTTACATTTCCAAATGAATGCCTCCCAGTTGCCAGGTGCTGGTTGACAATGGTATGAACAGATGAAGGTCGGGTTCACAGTGCTGACAGAAATATCAAATTCTTCCATTTCAGCTCTAAGACAATCAAAAAAGCCCACAGCAGCATGCTTAGAAGCAGCATCTAAAAGAAAGAAAAAATCCTCGTATTTGTGTGTTTCAATATTTGAATGCACACAGATGTATGATAGAGCCCCATAAAACATGAATGTCTGGAAAACTGAGCATAGAAAGATTAGTCAAAAGAACAGTGAATTATTTCACCCAGTGAAATTGTCATATGACATTTTTTAAAAGAACAAAACTATTTGTACATTTATGGGCACTTATGCATGAGGGATCTGCTGTGTCTCCCTATAGATGTCAAAGAGCACGTGTCTGGATTTCCCAGTCAGAAATATTAAGTCCTGGGTTAAGGAATAACACTTTTATTATCTCTACTGTTTAAAAATGTCATTGGTGGATGTAGAGTTGTCGCTGAGGTGAGTCCCCACACCATCTGCTGCTGCAGTTTGTGATATATCCTCTTCTGCAATGCAGGAGTACTAATGTTTTGTAAACTAATCAGGCCTTTGCCCTACAGTAGCAATCCAATGTGCTTTAATATTGATTTTAAAGTTACTGAATGTTAAGAGGCTTTTTAACTGTGCTTAGTGCCTTTTTGTTGAGAATACTATTTAAGAAGAATAATAGTATATGAACCCTAACCAAAAACCAGAACTACCTGACCTTAAAGATTATCAAGTTCCAAGCCCCATGCCATGAGCAGGGACACCTCCCACCAGACCACGTTACACAATTGTCATCCAACCTGGCCTTAAAAACCTCCAGGGATGGGGCATCAACAACCTCCCTGGGCAACCCATTTCAGTTCCTCACCACCCTTAGAGCGAAGAATTTCTTCTTAATATCTAACCTAAATCTCCCCTCTCTTAGTTTAAAACCATTACCCCTTGTCCTATCACTGTCTTCTCTGATGAAAAGCTTTCCTGTAGGTCCCTTTCAAGTACTGGAAGCTGCTCTAAGGTCTCCCTGGAGCCTTCTCTTCTCCAGGCTGAGCAACCCCAACTGTCTCTGCCTGTCTGAGACCAGAGCTGCTCCAGTCCTTGGATCATCTCCATGCTCCTTCTCTGGCCCCTCTCCAACAGCTCCATGTCTCTCCTGTGCTAAGGGCTCCAGAGCTGGACACAGCACCCCAGGTGGGGTCTCACCAGAGCAGAAGGGCAGAACCCCCTCCCTGGCCCTGCTGGCCACACTTCTCTTGTTGCAGCCCAGGACACAATTGCCCCTCTGGGCTACAGCACTCACTGGTGGCTCATGTTGAGCTCCTCATCTCCTCCCACCCCCAGGTCCTTCTCCTCAGGACTGCTCACAATCCATTCTCCCCTCAACCTGGATTTGTGCCCGGGGTTGTGCCAACCCGGGTGCGGGACCCTGCACTCGGCCTTGCTGAACTCCATGAGGTTGGCATTGGCCACCTCTCCATCCTGTCAGGGTCCCTCTGAATGGATCCCTTCCCTCTGGGGTGTCAACCACACCACACAGCTTGGTCTCATCAGCAAACTTACTGAGGATACATCAATCCCACTGTCCATATCTCCAACAAAGATTATGGTCTCTCTTTCCACGTTCCTCCTCTTTTAACCAGGCTAATATTGTCTCCAGTTTCTCTTTTTCTCCCCTAAACTCATCAGCCTTTCTGTCATGTCAACTCTTCCCTACGCTCTTTTCCCTGGGAAAAGTCTCCACACTGCCATATGGGCCTCATTTACTATCTTTTTTAATGTATCAAACCTTACATTTCCAAATGAATGCCTCCCAGTTGCCAGGTGCTGGTTGACAATGGTATGAACAGATGAAGGTCGGGTTCACAGTGCTGACAGAAATATCAAATTCTTCCATTTCAGCTCTAAGACAATCAAAAAAGCCCACAGCAGCATGCTTAGAAGCAGCATCTAAAAGAAAGAAAAAATCCTCGTATTTGTGTGTTTCAATATTTGAATGCACACAGATGTATGATAGAGCCCCATAAAACATGAATGTCTGGAAAACTGAGCATAGAAAGATTAGTCAAAAGAACAGTGAATTATTTCACCCAGTGAAATTGTCATATGACATTTTTTAAAAGAACAAAACTATTTGTACATTTATGGGCACTTATGCATGAGGGATCTGCTGTGTCTCCCTATAGATGTCAAAGAGCACGTGTCTGGATTTCCCAGTCAGAAATATTAAGTCCTGGGTTAAGGAATAACACTTTTATTATCTCTACTGTTTAAAAATGTCATTGGTGGATGTAGAGTTGTCGCTGAGGTGAGTCCCCACACCATCTGCTGCTGCAGTTTGTGATATATCCTCTTCTGCAATGCAGGAGTACTAATGTTTTGTAAATTAATCAGGCCTTTGCCCTACAGTAGCAATCCAATGTGCTTTAATATTGATTTTAAAGTTACTGAATGTTAAGAGGCTTTTTAACTGTGCTTAGTGCCTTTTTGTTGAGAATACTATTTAAGAAGAATAATAGTATATGAACCCTAACCAAAAACCAGAACTACCTCTTAAGTGCAGGAAAGCTGCAGAGCACTTGTCCACCTTGTATTTGCCTCAGTTTGCAGTGAAAATCAATCTGTGCTTAATATAACATTAATATAATTCCTTCTTCTGGCAGTTTAATTTCATGCAACATAGGTACTCGTAGAGGCACTGTAACAACTACTTCTGTTAGCTTTTCTGCTACACGAGTTTATACACAATCAGCTGTTCCCTAGATGAAAACCACTCCAGATGTCCCATTCATGTGTTGTTTCTTTTCTGAGCATTTTTGGTAGTTCTTATTGTTGTTTTGAGATGGGGGACCATAACTACACACAACGTTCCAGATGTAAGCACTACACAGATTTATACAAAGGCATAAAGACAGGATTGTTTTAATTTATTTTTTTCTCTACTGCTTTCTGTTTTGGCATCATGGAACTGTAAGTCACAACCCTGAGGTCTCACAGATCTTTTAGGTTAGGGCCCATCATTCACTCCTGCCGTCACAGTTAAAAATTACTACTTGCATCTATCCTGTTTTCTGTCCACTAACCTTACATATTATTAATACAAAGTCCTTTACTCATAATTCAGGGCAGCTCAGTTTCATTATCAGCTTTGCATGAAAGACCTTTTTGAAAATTTCCTGACAAAGTAAGCAGAATACAATCACTGCACCTCCTTTGCAACTCCCAAACCTGAACCCACAGAGTAGAGGAGTGTCCCCCTAAGCAGCTTCCAGTACTAACCAGCATCTTGTATTTATAGACTGCTTCATTCTTCAGTCTGGTTTCCAACACTCCCAGTACAGATGTTAGACCTACAAGTTTCCTGAATGTCTCCGAAGATCATAAAAATCCTTCCTGTCACATTTGATACACTCTTGTCCCCAAGTACATTAGACAGTTGTTATATTTCAAAGATAGTATTTTAACTGTTTCTTCTTGAGTTCCACTTCTTCGAATAATTTTCAGCCAAATACTATATTAATGGTTTACTGAATTAGGATGCAAGTTAGAGCTTTCAATAACCTATTGTCAGGAGCATGGAATACTCACAAATTATGCTTTAGAATGTACATTTTTTATATGTGTGTAACTTACAAGCTGCACGAAATGGGATTCCTATTTTTCCTTGGATACTATTAATTAGAACAATTTGGCCAGTTCTTCTTGAGATCATATTGGGGAGAATGGCTGAAGAAAAAGAAAGAAAAGAAAGAGCCATGTAAGTGAGAGAGTCCAATGTATTTAATGAAAAGAAGTGACAGCTGAAATGTGGAGAGCACAACTTTATGAAGGTTTTCTCAATACTGCAATCAAAAGTATCACAAAATTCAGTGTCTGGAAATTGAGTGTCTTCCAGACTTCACTTGCGGATTTGAGTGCAGTATTATCCCATTTAATTGCTAGCTTGTCTGTATCCTTGCAAGGATTTTGAAACCTTTTGTCTTTGTAACAAAGCAGCAAACACGTAAATAAAGGATTCACTAAATGCAAATTACAATAAACAGGCATTGTAAAAAAATTCTGTCTTTCAAATGCGTATATATTTCTTGACAAATCTATTTCCAAACCCAGACACTCTGATTCTGATCATCTTCATATCCATTTCAGTCCACTAATTTTCACATTATTGTTTTTTATTATAGTGAAGGCAGCAAAAAAACGCCAAATGCAAATGAAACAGTGTCATGACAATGACTCCAGCTTTCAGTGGCAACACCAAAACAGGAAAAAAAAATAAATTAAAATACCTTTGGTTAATGTTATAGGTCCAAAATAGTTGGCATCCATGATCTTTTTATCAAGTTCCAAAGAAATGCTCTGCACTGCTCCTTTCACCTTCATACTTGCATTGTTGATCAGTATATCCACACAGCCATAGCAATTCAAGATTTCCTTTGCCACATCCTGAATGCAGTTAATGTCTGAGATATCCAGAAGTATCAGCTTTGGGGCATATGTCTACCAAAGAAAGGATGTATTTCAAGGATAACTGTTACATAAACATGTATTTCTATTTATTTGTAACTTTCCCTACCATTCTCACAAAATCTTTGATTTTGTTTCTTTTAGAAAGAAGATCATTCAGCAACAGATATTATTGAACCACAGGATCATAAAAGAGTTTGGCTTGGAAGGGACCTTTAAATATCACCCAATGCAACCTCCTTTCAGGGAGCAGGGACATCTTCAACCAGATCAAGTTGCTTAGAGCCCTGTCCAACCTGACCTTCATTGTTTCCAGAGATGCCTCTCTGGGCAACACGATCTATTGTTCACAACCTTCATTGAAAAAAAATTCTTCCTTATATTCAGTCTAATTCTACCCTCTTTTAGTTTAAAACCATCACTCCTTGTCCTATCACAACAGCCTGGGCTCTAAAGTTTGTCCCAAGTACTGCAATTCTCCCTGGAACCTTCTCTTCTCCAGGCTCAACACCCTCAGCTCTCTCAGTCTGTCTCCAGAGCTGCTCCAGCCCTTGGGTCATTTTTGTGGCCTCCTCTGGACCTGCTCCAACAGGTCCCTGCTTTTCCTGTGCTGAGGATTCCAGAGCTGGACACAGTACTGCAGGTGAGTTCCTACCAGAGCTGAATGGTGCCTACTTGCATGGTGACCCAGTGGCAGTGAGGAATCATATGCTCCCACAAATTTCCAGCTGGGACTTCTCCCAAAGTAGTGGAGAAACTCAGAATTAATTCAATCTTTACACCTATCTCCCACTCCTTAAGCACTCTTTTATGTGAAAAGAAGAGTGATGGCTCCTGTGATTAAATGAAGAACTTTGGATCCCTCTCATCTACAAATCCCTATGGCTAGAATCTCTCATTGGGTTGATTGTTCAAAACGCAGGACCACTGAGTTGCTTTACAGGAATTGCCTTGAATTAGCTCAAGAGAGGAGGATTTCTGACTTGGACTTTTCTAATAATGCTCTGAAGACCTTCAGAGATGTTTCTCTCTCTTTCTTTCTCTGAACTGTGTTGGGTGTGTTACCTGAGTGACAAAAAGGTCCATTAACAGTGAATCATATTTCATATACCTTGTTTTACTGGATTTTAAACTGCATTGTGTACCTGAACAAGGTGTTTACCTTGAGTTGTGAATTTTCAAAGCAGAGTGAGGAAATCCTTACCATACTGGGGTCTGCCACACTAATTAAAGCATCATACAATGCTTCTAGTTTTTCCCATGTCCTGCCACACAACACAAGCCTTGCTCCTCCTCTGTGAAACACCCGAGAACATTCTAGAAGAGAAATACATTTTTAAAAAAATAAAAAATTATCATAAGAATTTGATTTAGTTTATTTTTCTTAAAATGGGATGCTGTTTTTGCTAATGAAGTTGAATCTATGCTGTAAAAGTCATTAATTTGGAAAGAATAAATACATATTAGAACAAAGAAAGCACTAAATGGCACTAATATATATATATGAGTAATACATTAAAATTTAATATAATGGTATAATGAACCTGCCATTACTCATAGCCAGGCATTCCAGATGGAGATACTGGAAGAGGAGTAACTGA